GCAGTTATGTACCTTTTACAGCATGCTATAAAGGGACTACAAAAAAAGTGGAAATCAAGGAAATTTCTCAGGTAAAAGGAACACATGATATGTTTATGGGAGCAGCTAATAGTTGGTTAGCAGACATCCTGAGGGGTGGATGGCAAGCTTGGCTATTCCATGGTTTCTGATCTTTATGTTTCTTTTAGTGGGTCTCCTCATTAATCTGACTTGTGCTACCAGGCTAACTACAAAAGTAAATACTTCCTTACATCAGGCCATTTTATAGCAAACTATGGTTCTTAATCACCACCACACCTCAAACAAAGACTATGACCAATAGGAATCAAATACTGTTGAACTATCTTTATTGCCTAAACTTTGAATTGTTTGATTTTGATTAGTTCAGTTCATGGAGACTCCTATTAAAAAGTGTACTTCAGGCCGGGTGCGGTGGCTCACGCCTGCAATCCTAGCACTCTGGGAGGCCAAGGCGGGCGGATTGTTTGAGCTCAGGAGTTCGAAACCAGCCTGAGCAAGAGTGAGACCCCATCTCTACTAAAAAAAAAAAAAAAAAATGGAAAGAAATTAACTGGACAACTAAAAATACATAGAAAAAATTAGCTGGGCATGGTGGCGCATGCCTATAGTCCCAGCTACTCGGGAGGCTGAGGCAGAAGGATCTCTTGAGCCCAGGAGTTTGAGGTTGCTGTGAGCTAGGATGACGCCACGGCACTCTAGCCCGGGCAACACAGTGAGACTCTGTCTCAAAAAAGAAAAAAAAAAAAAAAAAGCGTACTTCAGTTTCTTGGCATTATCCTCCTGATAGCTATGATAATGGTCTCCCTGATGTGTTATATTCCCTCAGGGTCTTAAATGTTCACATATAGCCATCCTTTGTACATCAAATGGACTCACTATGGTTAGAAGTTACAAAAAAATGAAGAAAACATAAAGAATCATTCAACTAATTTGACACTGTGAATTGTAAATGTCACCCTAAGACCAAACAAGTCCATTTGATGGTGACAGAAAGTTATGTCGGGGCCCAAGGTTTTGGTCAATCTCTCAGAATTGAAAGGCTGACCAAAAGGGGGAATTGTTAAAAAATTTAATTTGTATGTATGTAATAAATTGTAGTAATATGAAATTTTGTATGTATGTATGTATAAAATGTAATAATATGTAATAAATTATAACCTAATTTATTATGTAAACAAACTGCAACCTAACTTGACAGTATGTTTTTGTAACAGATAGCCAATCTTGGTCAATCACAGCAGCCTAGCTTTCAGCTAATCACAGGCTGCAAACTGCCAAAACATGCCCAAATAAGGCAAATGCTGAACTATAACCAATCAGGGCATTCTGTATGTCACTTCCATTTTCTGGCTACACATATTCCCTGCCCACACTGTGGAGCACAGCATCACTTTTGGTCCTGAGTGCTACCTGATGCATGAATCTTTGTATTCTGCCCAATTAAACTCCAATAAACTTAATTTGTCTAAGGTTTATCTTTTTAAGAAAACTGAAAGAATTGTGCATCTCAAAAATACTTAAGAAGTCTCCAGAAAAACTCAAATAAAAAACAAGGACACCAGTGGAAACTTTCATTTCTAACATATACACTCTTACAGCAAACAGCAAATACAGCCTAACCCCTAGCTACATAAACATAAAACCTTGCACTAAAGGCCTATTTATCTCAGCTCTTTTTAACAACCATTTGGTTAGTTTTATGTGTCAATTTGGCTAGGCCATGGTACCCATGGTACTCAATTTTTTATCAACCTCCAGCCTAGATGTTACTGTGAAGGTATTCTTTAGATGTGATTAACATTTAAATTAGTAGACTTTGAGTAAAGCAGACTACCCTCCATAATGTAAGTTGGCCTCACCCAATCAGTTGAAGGTCTTAAGAAAAATCTATGATTCCCAGAGGAGGAAGGAATTCTACCTCCAGACTGCCTTCGGACTTGTACTGCAACGTCAGCCCTTTTCTGGGGTCACCATTCTGTTGGCCTGCCCTGCAGAATTTGGACATGCTAGATCACAATCACATGAGCCAATACCTTAAAATAAATCAGCCAACTTCTCTTCACACCCTCCCGATAATGACACCTTTCTTCATTCCTTTTCATTATTTTGTCAGAATTCAGTGATCTCTTAAAATTTCATAAGCCATCCCCTTGTATTACTTTCTAAAAGTCATTTTAAAACTTCATGACTGCTGAATTTAATGTCCTTTTCAAAAATCACATTTTTTGTACCATTTTATAATGACAACCTTTTGCTTCTTGAAACTCTCCTTTCTCATTCATGAGATATTGCACTGTACTTCTCTCTCCTTACTTCCTTAAACAGTCTTTTCATTTCTTTTACTAAAATTCGTCCTTCTCACCCATTAACAACATCAGCAAATATCCTTTTTTCAAATTTCCCACTGTTTAAAGTCTTCCCTCTAACTGTAACATTAAATATCTGCATCTCAAGGTCAAAACTCCCTCCCAAGTGTCAGATCTATGCTTCCAACAGTTTGGTAAAAATCTCTAAATGGAATTCCTATTAGTAACTAAAATACAAACTATCTAAAAAAGCTGAAAACCTTACCCTCAAAACACGCTATATTTTCTGAAAATAACCTTCTTCCTGATAATGCCATTGTTCTCCTGGTTTCTCCAGACAAAAAACCTAAAAGTCATTTTCAAATCACTGTCAAGTATTTATGGTTCCATTTACATACCTTTAGTTCCTGCGAACCTAGTAATTCAGGTCCATGTCAGTACTTAGACTACGAAATATCCTACTAACAGATCATCCAATATAAAATTATTCTTATTTCAGCCTACAATCTTATATATTATCTATGGAACAAACTATAAATTTCAGTGTTACCCAAACATACCCTACACTGCTATCTTCATGCATTTTTCCTACTATTTACTCTGGGCAAATCCTCCAACAATCTTTTCCTATTGAAATCCATTTGAAATGGCAAGATCTTTTCACTGAATTTAATCTCTCCTTCCTTTGACTCTTTGCAGCATTTTGCTTGTGACTCTCTCATGGCACCATAACACATTGTTTTTATTCTATTTCAATCATACATCCAACAATATTCAATGATCATGTTATGAGCCAGGCAATGTAAATATTAGGTGCTGAGTATAAAAGGGTCAATGAGAGAGAAATAGGCCCCACCCTCATAAAGCGTATAAACTAGTAGAGAAGAATATGGTTATGTGCACCTTCCTTTTATCCTCATCCTAATCCTCAAAGGGATTCAAAAATCATTAAAGGCAAGATATGTAACTCTGAATTTTTCCACAACACCATCACAGAACAATATATACATTTAATACAATATTTTGTTGAACCTAACTGAAAGTATACCTTGTAGAAAGTTATAAACATCATTGCACAAAAATGTACATAATTTAAGCTAAGAAACTTTGGAGGGGCTTAAAACAAATAATTTCTCTTATGGGAATGTATTATTTTATATATAAGCTATGTAAGTCTGCTCAAAAAGATAAATAATAAAATAATCTCTACCCAAGGAAGCAGAACAGAAAAAGAATTTAGCAAAGAAAAGGGGAAAATACATTGTCATTTACAACAGCCAATGTTTTTTTTTAATGGTATGTTATAGCGATCCAGAATTGGTAAAATGAAGAGCATTGACTAAAAGCCGTGCAAATTTCATGCCAAAGGATATTAAAAAGAGTGCCAAATCCCATTTTCCTTCTTCATAGAACAGAGTTGTTAACTAAGAAAGAGATTGCTCAGCCTGGATCTAAAGTTCCTCAAATCCCCTGAATCTTGGAGTGGCCAAGTTTTTTTCCTATGAAACGTAAATGCAAATGATGTTTGCCACTCCTGGGTCAGAAGGTTGTATGTATTAGGCAGCTTAGCCTAGCCCAATTAATACACCAGGCACATGACAATATTTACTTATTTTACAAAGCATTTTGATATTGTTTGATACTCAGGTGGCAAATACAACTGTTTCTTTCTGGAATAAGCTAACTAAAATGTTACTCTTAAAATTTTATCATTATAGTGCCAATTATGACATTGTCTATAAGAAAAACACAACTTTGGAGAAGGTATAAATTTCAAATTGATATCACATAGTGGAATCTACATTCCATTTTAGAAAGAATTTACGTGGATGTAGGCAATGGAACTTTTAGTCCTTTAATAAAACAACTTTATAATAATAACTATTAGATCAAAGTTCTCATGACCTTTTAATTGGTTAGAAAGAAAAACAGATCCAAAGGCAGAAGAGTATAGTTGCCAAAAAGGTACCTCCATTTAAACCAGAAAAATTATAGTTAATTTAGTCCATAATGAGCAACTGGGTAGAAAATGAATTTAAATATTATATGATACAAGCCACTTCTATTTTTGAGATATTTATTTTTTGAAAATGGTTCCTAGAAGTACCAACCATATGCATTTTTGCGGTGATAATATGCTGATCATACAATGACACACAATTTTACATATTAAAATACATATTTATATAATTATATACACAATTATCTGTAATTGTATAATTTACTCTTTATATGTAAAAGATGATTTCACTAATTCAAAAATACAGGTTTTTAAAGGAGTAAATAGAATCACCTCAGTTATTGTTGATCTTTTCTACAAATAAAATCATCTAAAAATCTACAAGTTTCAGAAGTGAATAACTGCTAATAATAAAGGCAAAATTCAACAAAACAAGGAATAAGAACTAGATACTATTATAAAACTATAACATTACCTAAAGAGTTTTAATGTATAAATATCATAGGCTATTAATTCAGAATATAATAGGCTACCCACAAAATATAATAATGAAGAATAATAATCTGACTATAGTGATTTCAAAATAATAATGCTTTAATATAATCACCCTGATAATTCTTAACATTACTGCAAAACTAACTGAAGTTAATTTTAAAGATCTAATACCCAAAGCAAATATAATAATTTTTAATATTTTTTATTATAACACCAACCTGTTCCAATTCTTGTATTTTAGCATCCTTGACTTGCAGGATTTCTAGAACTTTTCTGTCTTTAGCTTCAGATTTCTGTTTTTCTCTAGATACAAAAAATATATATATTGAGAATTTATTAGTCATAATTGGTAGCTAATAGTTTAAATTTTCACATCCTAATAATGACTATCACTTTAAAATACAGAAAATGAAATCATCTTGGGTTGACAGCTCTTTCAGAATTAATCAGAAACCATATGGCAAGTGACAGCAACTTGCAACTGCTGACAACTAAGACAACTTCATATCAAAAGAACACTTAGTTTCCAGATGTAGATATATGATTTTAAAAACCACATAAAACATGGTTTAATCTTGATTACAATAAGTATAATGTAATCAATTTGAGAATAATTAAAAATCAGAAAATATGTTCTAGTTAACTTAAACATTTTATATACATAATTATATAAAGGATAAAATATTACCATTTTTAAGTGAGAGTCTCAAAAGAGAGTGACCCAGAGATTTACTAATAGTCAAGATCCCATAACACTACAATTATTGGATTTCTGACACCTTCCTACACATTTCTAGTCTCTGAGAACACTACTGACTATACTAAATGGCAGTTGAATAATCAAAGCATATTTCTCTGGGAAACAAAATCATACTACTTGGAAATAATGACTATCTTCTAAAAATAAACAAATACAGCTTTAAAAAGGAAAAGGAGGGGAAAGGAAAAAAACAAAAGTCTTAAGATATTATATAGTCAGGCTATTACTGGTCAATTTACATCTTAAATGAGGAGAAATTTATTAGACACCGATTTATATTTTAGAAAACTTTAAAATAGGTAAAAAAAATAAGAGTATGTACCTAAATCACCCAAGAATCACAGAATGTACAGGTAAGAAATAAGGAAAGAACCCTCACTTAAGAAAGTAAAATTCAGCAAAGGGCCTTAGAAGACACAAATGAATATAAGAAGGGACACTAATCAGAAAAATATACCACTGGTTATAAGAGAAAAAGTTGAAGGTAGAATAGTTCATAAACAAATTTACATTAAACTTTCAAGAAGTTAGCATAGTAAGTTGACACTTGAGGCTCCCTCTCTTCTCTAAATATGTTAATAGAAAAAACATAAAAATTTTTAAATAGACACAACTATGTCCCTGAGGATCATAAACTAAACAGAAATACACAGATATGAATGGGAACAAAGCTACTGTTTGCTGTCCTCCAGATCCAGATGCAGGATGAGGTGGGAAGGAGCTCGACTTCTGGTGATGACAGAGAATAAAATTGCCTTGTGCAATATGTAGAAGCATAGCCAGGCTCATTGTTTGCTATGCATCCAAAGAATGGATTGCGGATGCTAACTCATGAGTGGAAGCTGGAAAAGGCTGCTTCCCACCCTTTCCTAAAACTAAGGTTTATATGAAAGTCAAGTATGGCAAAGGTTTATGGACATAGCACAGGACTTGAGTCAAAACATTCTGCAGCTCAGGCTAAATACAGTAAATCCCGTATGTTACCGTTGCCTAAGAGCCCCAAGCAACCAATATAAAACCTATTTCAGGAAGGGAAATAGGAGTGAGGTTAACAATTTAGAGGCAACCATAAAATCTGTACAAAGAAATAAGCGTTAGATAAGGAGGGAGTAGTGGGGAAAGAGGTGGAAGAAAACAGTAACAGCAACTTTTCCTCTCAAGATGTGACCACAAGTAAAATATTCCAAAACACATGAATGAGCCCATGTACACTGACACACTAGTTCAGGTCAGAAGATGCAATCCTCTAGTCAAAACGACAATAACAGAACATACTGAGAAAAGCTTTAAAATAAGGGTCCTTAAACATACAAAAGAATAACTAATATTAAAAACAAAAAATAAAACAATAACAGGTGAATATGAAAAATCAATTAAAACTCTTGAAAATAAAAATTATAATCACTGAAGCAAAAAACAATTAAATGATCTAAGCTCAAAACTAGACACACAAAAAATTAGTGAAATAAATGATAGTAATGAGGGATACATCTAGAATACTGCATAGAAAAATGATGAGACTGAAAATATGAAAACACAGTTGAAGCATGTATGTTTCACTGGGAAACTCTTAACACATGCCTAAAATGTTCCAGAAGCAGTAAAGTGGGATGGAAAATAAAGTCATATTTTAAGAGGTAATTGCTGAGAATATTTTAGAATTAAATAAAGCCCTTGGATTGAAAGAAGCACATATTATATGATAGGCATTGGACTAGGGATACTGCATGGAACAAAAGAAACCAAGTGGCTGCCCTCATGGAATTAACATTTTAGTACAGAGATACTGAAAATAAATAGCACATTAGTGAATACACAGTATGTCAAATAGTTGTAAGTATAATAAGGACAATAAATTAGGGAAATGAAGAAAGGGATGCCCAGTCTTGGAGAATTTGGGAGTGAAATGAAGGCTGTTGCTATTTTACATAGACTAGTTAACAAACAACTCTCCTTAAAGGTAATATCTGAGGAGAGATCTAAAAGAAGGAAGAGAGAGTCACGCAGATTTCAGGGAAGTTTTCCAACCCATGGGATTAGAAGCAAATGCGAAGAAAATAAGGCAAGAACACAGTTGGTATATTCAAAGAACAGTGAAGAAGTGAGTATATTGTAGTAAAGGGAATGGTAGGTAAGGACAGAAATCCTTGGTCCACAGTCAGACTTGGGCATCACTGGACATTTCAGAACCACAAAAGCCTTGGGAATCCCCAAGGCCCCCCCGGGATCCCAGGCCCACCTCAGGAGGCTGAGAGAGACCTCCCTGTTCCCCCATTGCACAGTGCAGGGACTTAGTCCGCCCCATTCCCAGGCTCCCTCCCTGGGATCCTCCACACCCCCTGCTGCTGCTGGGTTGAGGGCTAAGTTCCATTAATGGGCTCACTTCCTCCTGTGACCCCTCTCCTCAAGCACACACCCTGGCACAGAGCTCACCCTCAGAGTATCTTTGGGCCTTCTGAGTCTAAAAGAAAACAATTAAAAAAAAATAAAAAGATTAAGGACAGACCTTAGGATCAAGGGTAAAACCAAAAAGACCAATTAGGAAGCAACTGAAATAGCCCAGATGAAAAATAAAGATGAATTGGACAAGACAGGTAGGTATAGTAGTATTGAGAAGTGATAAAAATTCTGGATATTCTGAAGGTAGAGCTAACAGGTTTTCTTGATGCATTAGATATGAGATGTAAAAGAGAGTGAAGTCAAGAATGTCTCCAAGGCTTTTGTGACTAAGCAACTGGAAGGATGGAGTAGACATTATCTGAAATATGGAGAAGGAAATTGGTGGATGCTAGGATTTTGAATTTGGACATGTTAAGTTTTAGATGCCTAATCAACATCCAAAAGGAGTAGGCAGTTGGATAAACAAGTCTGGAATCAGAAAAGAAGTTAAGGCTGGAGATACAACTGTAGGAACTGTACAAATATAAGAGTTTCCCCTCACCCTCAGTTTCACTTTCCATGGTTTCAGTTACTCATAATCAACTGTGGTACAAAAATATTAAATGGAAAATTTTATAAGTAAACAATTCATAAGCTTTAAATTGTAGCTCCACTTTGAGTGTGGGAAGAAACATCAAGCCATACAGCTCTGGCCTGCTCAGGACATGAATCATCCCATTGTCCAGTGTATTCATGCTGTACAAGTTACTCACCTATTACTGCATAGGAAAAAATGCTACCCACCTGTTATTTTACATAGGGTTTGGTGGTATCCATGGTTTCAGGCATCCACTGGGGGTTCTGGAACATATCTCCTGCAGATAAGGGGGACTACTGCATATCTAAGACCTTAAGAGTAGACGGGATCACCTAGGGAGTGATTTTGGATAAAGAAGTCTGAGTCCTACAGCATTCCAACATTTATAGGTTAGTAAGATGAAAAAAAAATAGCACATGATACTAGAAGGATAAGCCAGTAACGTTAGAAGAGAATCAAGAGAGAAAGATAAATGAATAAAGTATTTATAGAAGAAAGGATGATCAACTGTGTCAAATGCTGCAAAAACATTAAAGAAGATAAAGACTGAGAATTGACTGCTAGATTTAGCAATATTAAAGTCACTGGTGATATCCTGACAAGAGCTGTTTTAGGAGAATGGTGAGTAGGAAAGCCTAATTGGAGTCAGTTCAAGAGAGAAAGAAAAAAAGTGGAGATAGTGAAAACTACTCTTCAGAGGAATTTTGCTGTAAGAAGGAACAGAGAAATGGCATAGTAGTTCAAGGGAAATATGAGATCAAAAGAGACTTTTTTAAGATGAGAGATAAAATAGCATGTGTGTATGTTGACAGGAATCATCCAGGACCGTAAGAGATACCGATGATGTAGAGAGAGAAGGGAGAATCGCGGAGTGACATCCTTGAGTCCTTGAGGCTTTCATGTACACATAGTTTGGCCTTGGGAGGGAGTATAAACAGTTTTCCAAAGAAATAAAAAGAGAAAATATGAGTACAGATTCAGATACATTAATAGATGTGGTTAGGAGAAGGAGTAAAAGCTTTCTTCTAAGAATTTCTGTTTTCTCAGTGGTATAGGAAGCAAGGGTATCTACCAGCTGAAAGTGAGAATGTAAAAAGAACTGTTGGAAGTTAAGAGAGGAAACATAAAATATTCTAGGATACTGGGATAGTAAATGGACTAGGAAAAAGTAGGATGACTACCAGGCAGTACTAAGGCCCACCTGAAGTTAGTGGTCATAAATTTTTATAAAACCAGTGTCATCATGGTTCAGGTTTTTCTCCAGCCATATTTAGCCCTCTGGATGTTGGCACACGGTAGGTGGAGAGTTAGAGTAAACCATGTTGGAAATTTTGCACATATGTATCATGACTACTTTTTTTTTTTACTATTTGTACTTTATTTTGCTTTATTATTTTAATTTCTATTTACCATGTAACACAAACATTTAATGTATCATCACAACCCATTGTCTTCAACTGGGCCTTCTTTTAATTTGTGTTTCTTTTACTAATAGCAAAATTTAACAAACTTTCCGAAATTAATGAATGTCTGCCCCTTTTATTTTCTGTTTTGCCACTGCCTGTC